GTCTATCAACGCAGTCGCGACGTATGAAGTTTCACGTGGAGCCAATGTCTATGAAGGCGCCGCACTTGCGACCACCCACACCAACTTCCACAAGGAAGTGCTCCCCTCTAGGACCTCTACTTAGTGCCACCAAGGACTCACGAGGGTCCCTTGCCGACCACTCACCTTGAAGGTCCTTTAAGGTCTCAGACACATCCAACGTACAGAGCATAGTTGGGTCCGGATGCGTCTGCGGGGTGACTAGGGAGTCAATATATAGCTTCGGCCAACTCTTGAAACGGGGAGGGTACATCACCCGCTTCAACGAGAGTAGAAGCAGCTACAACTTCTACCGGCCCTAAGTGTTTTCTGAGCTGGAGCTCGTAGAGGCCCCAGACTGAGAAGAAGGGAACCCACCTTAGGAGGGATCTTTTGCAGGATCTTCGGGTTCTTGCACTTAAACTGCATATGGTCGTACTCGCCGCAGTTTATGCAAGCACCACGCGACCAACGGTCCCGCCACACTTCCTGATTCAAACCAGCCCTTACCCAAGCCGCTATTTTGTTTGGGTTGGCGGCTTGCCCCTGACTCCTTTGTTGACCGCCCTTGCCGAGGCCAACTGCCTTAGTCTTAATCGCAGCGGCGAGGTTGCTACCCTCAGCAATCTCCTCGCCGTCTAACTCTGACCCCTCCACGAGCTCTGAAGCGTCATCGATCTCAGTTTGATTCCCTTCGGAATCAACCATCATCAATCGACTTCCTTTTTTCTTCCACTCTTGTGGAGCTTTCTTCTTTCTTCCATCCGTAGAGGGGGCTTGAGCACTACCCAACGTAGCCTCTAAGTCTAGGGCCTTCTTGCTGAATGACGCAAATGTATGATACTCTCGACAAGCCTCACTGGCTAATAAGTTCTTGATGTCTGTGGGAAGACATCTCAAGAATGTGGTCAACAAGACTTGTGGATTGTACTGCACTCCTGGGACTACAATTAGGCGTTCTACGGTCGTGGTAAGCTCTCTCACTGACTGGAGGGTTGTGCCACCGAGCCTCCACTAAGTCCACAAAACTCTCTAGGGTGTGGGTCTGCGCCCAGTCACCCATGTTCCTGCCGAACCCCTTGGAAACTACCAATCCATTAAGCCAGTGGGCTGTTGAACCCTCTAAATAGGATGCAGCAGTTATAAACTCCTCTACCAATGTCCTCTTTGCCCTCACCCACACAGGAACCGTTCTCAACCACGTGTCGAGAGCCTCATCCTTCTTGTCTCCTGAGAAGGTGGGTGGTTTCAGGGGGGTCGTGGGATACCAAGGAAATTGCTTTCCCGCTGGCGATTCGAGCGGAAAGGTACAGGGAAGAAAGCCACGATGAACTATTGAACAAGTGTAAGCTTCGCTACCCGAACGTTATGAGTACTGACCACACTTAGGGACTGATGGAGAGGCCACTGGGCCGTCAATTTGAGGTTTCGCGGTTAGCATTCCAAGGGACATGGAAAGAGAGCGGTCCTGAAGGTGGCGACTGTGATGTAGCTCCAGTCGCTGGACCAGAAGATGAAGAAGCAGCAGTCTGTGATAGAGTTGCTGCTGATGTACCGCTTGGTTGTTGCCCAGACTGAGCAGCATAGGGGCCTGTCATCGCTGATAATGGAAGCGATGGCTTAGCTGTTGTCCGGGTCCCCGACCTTTGTAGGGCCTGCAGGATCTGGTCCAGGGTGTCCTCCATGGCGTCCATTTTGCTCTCCATGTACGCCTGCATGGACATGACACTTGCCTTCAGAATCTTTCGTGTAGAGTTAAGGGTCGTGTCGTCTAAACCCTCTAGTGCAGCTAGGTCTGCCTCCCTACTCTCTAGTCTGGTTTTTCTCTCTCTAATTTATTTTTCCTTCTTAGTAGCCTGTTTGAGTTCCTCCTCTAACCTCAGGCGGATCCTGTCTACCTGCTGGAGCTCCATCTGCTCCCTTAGAAGATGAGGCGGCAGGCTGGACTGCACACCCACCATCTGACTAGTGTCGGCACCTGACGTGTTACAGACTGACTGTGAGCTGGTCGAATTGGACGGCATGCCCAGACCAAAAGTTGCTGCAGACGTTGCTGAGGCGGTAGCCATTGGTACGCCGCTAGCTGCTGCTGCTTCCCTTGCAGCCTCCAGACTACGGGCTCTAGCTTCGGCCCGTAGTCTTCTCTCTTCTCCCGGGTGTAGTGCCTGGAAGCGATGATAGCCTTGTTAACCTCCTAGTGTCAGCTACACCATCCCCGACTGATCCACTCATCGGCTAGGCAGACGCTGTCTGCACTAGAGTCCTCTATGGGACCTACCGCAGCATGCGTCTGACTGGTGCTAAAAATAAATAAATAAATAATCACTGAGCGAGTCACCTCCGGCTACTAATCATGCGGTATCAACAACACCTATACAGACTATACACGTAGTCTACCTCTATCTTGATTAGTTCCGAACAGAAGCTTTGAGAAGAACTGACTATGGTAGATTACAGTCCTACTCTAGGCTGTCTGTTAGGTGTCAGCAGTCTGTCAACCAACTAATCAAAATAAAAATGGACTAGGTGAGCAGATGTACGCACAATGGTCAAAATAGTGATGGTCGGTTGAGTTCACAATTGGAATCCCCTTCCCTTCTATCCAACGTACCTGTGAGCATCATCAAGCTGCGGTGTCTAAGGTGTGCAACCACGGCCCACCCCTTTGCCCAAGAAATATGCTTATGACCAGTCCTGCCCTTTATTTACCCTCGCGTGCAACGAGCCTTACGTCTGACTGAGCTGGCTGATCAAGAGGCAATTTAAGGACAGCCCCCGAGAGTCCTCAGGAATTCTTTAACGTCGCAATCAGGACGATGATCACAGCCAGTGGACAGTTCAGACCCCAACCAGAAATGTTTATAGACGGTCTGGGAGCGTCTACGTAGGACTGGTCAGTCCGCACACCCCTTCTATCAGCGCAGCAAAGTGCCTTAATGGACAAAGCAGCATGGCCTGCGTGTACTAATACCCATGGGTTGGCATGGTGACCGTGACCCGTGCTTCAACCAGGGCCCTTCAGAGGCACCGCCCTTTCCTGCCAGATGCGCCACCGGGAAGAATGTCGTCTCTCAAGATAAAGCGCACACGACTCCTTTCAAAAGAGAGGACACTCAAGTTGGACTCACTTCCTCACGGTAAGAAGAGATTGAGAGGGTAGATAAGGAATGGGAACAACGTACCTGGAGGTAGCTGCCCCCAAACACAGATTTCTCACCAATTGGGCCGACGTGCATTTCGATGACCAGTCAATAGCCTCGGTACCACCCACAACGCAATGCATTGCCACCTCAGCCAAAATGCCACCTCAGCCAAAATGCCACCTCAGCCAAAATGCCACGTCAGCATACTCTCATCATCATACATACATCCGCTGTCGCCACAGCTCCCACGCTGTCGCCACAGCCTCCCAGCAGCCGGCCCCTCTACCTGGGCCCCGCTCATGCAAGCCAGCGCCAAAGTATCCTTACTGCACATGAAGCATCGTCTGCGCACCAAGTAACAATGTCGCCGGTGCCAGGTAAGCGGCGATCACGAACCAGCTCTGATACCAAATTGCAAGGAATATAAGTGTGAACGATATACAAAAAAACAATGTTGTGAAATCACACAGATGTCCAGGTAGTCGTATCCAAGCAGAGAGTACACAATGCACCGAGAAACCATCCATATAGAGCAATACAATGAAGTAATGAGTCAATGTTCAAGCCCGTAGGCCACACCAACACAGAATCCAAAGTCGCTCCTCTCTATCTGGCGCCTAGCGCCCAACCTACTTTGCCCGACTATCCTACCTACAGTTGGTTCACGCAACAGGCTCACTCGACTCTCGAAGACCAATGTACATGACTATCAACTCCATAGCTGACCTCTCTTCATGCACCAGGTACGTATCTCATCACCCTCAATCAGACCTTTATAACCCCACTCTGCGCCTCCTTCCCTGAAGACCACCAGACCACCCGCTATACCCCCTGGCGTCCAGCAGCCCGGCTATGTCCGCCTGCGCCCCGCTGCCCTGCAGCGCCCCTCCTTCACCACCTCGCGCTCCGTCAGCGCCTTTGGCAGCAGCGCAGCATCAAGCGAGAGCGCAGCAGCACTTCCGCATTGCCAGCACTGGCCAGAATGCCTGGCCTGGGCTGCCTTCCTCCTTTTGTGGAAGTGGCAGCCTCCTGGATGCTGCGTGTGGCCTGGCTGGAAGCTTCCAGTAGCTTCCGGTTGGGCCTCAGACCCTGCGCCCAGGCCCGAGACTACAGTTGAGGGCCCCGGCCCCTTTACAGTTGGGCACGGCCTGAGTCTCCAGACTTGGGCTGTTTGCTGCATCTGTGCAGGGCCCCCAGGCAGGTGCGTCGGCAGTACTGCTTTTGCCAAGGCCGATGGCCTGGTTCCCAATGTATCGGCCCTGCTTTGTGTGTATGTGCCCAGGCCAACTGTCAAGGCCTGGGCCAACTGTATGACGCAGCTTTGTGAGGCTCACGCGTCTACCCAACCAACTGGCGTGCTGCAAGAGCCTGAATACCCACACATGGAAATGTCGAATTTTGCCTCTGACGAATATTCAGGCCCGCCTTCACTGAGGGCGGGCACTTGGCTTGCTGGGGGCCTTGGCCCAGATCATGTGATGTCTGATAGGGCCCCTTGAGGGCTTGTTCCTCACAATATGTTCTCCTGCTGTGGCAGACTAATCCCTACTGATTTTTCTCTCAGGATTGTTGTTCCTGTCATGTTTTTTTTCAATCCCAGGCTCTTTGGATGGTCGACACGTTTCAGAATGCATCAGGAACGCAGCCTGATCTTGATATCAGTTGTGACTGGAGTGGAGAGGGTCAAGTCAAGGTTGGTTTTCAGAATGCTATTTCTAGCTACAGCTGCTCACGTTTCCACGGCTTGGCTGCAGAGTGGTTCTCGAGAGTGCTGAGTCTCTCTCCTTTCCCCTGCCCTGATCTGCATTTTGGATGGTTGATGTGATTTGAATGCATCAGGAACACAACTTCATCAGGAAATCAATCTTGATAAGATTAAGTCAAGGCGGGTCTTCCGGAAAGCTATTTTCGACAAACTGCTTATGCCTTTCAGAGGCCTTGGATATTGGGGCTCCCAAGATGAAGGACACGATGAGGGATCCGAGGAGGCTGACGGGCAGCAGGATGAGCAGCGGCGAATAAGCTATGAGGTCTATGCGGATGGGCCGACACGTGTGCTGCTTATCAGTGAGGGTAAACTTCCTGATAGAGGGACGTTGACATTCAAAGGGTCCGGAGGGAACAGGACGATGACAGAACTGTGGCTTCGACTAGAGATTACAACCTTGACTCTCTTGGAGAGAGAGCGGCAGGTAATGGACTTGGGAACGTAAACCCTGTCGCAGCATTGGCAGAGATGCTGTGATGTGCATCTTTCCTGCCTTTTGTTTGCTTTCTTCTTTGTTGTAAATGGAATGCTATCTAACAGGATCCAAGTGTGAGACGAAGAGAGATAAAAAGTGTCAGAAAGCCAAACAAGTACCTGAATGTATGGGCATGTGATGCAAACGTCATTCTTGTGAGGCAGTCTGACCTTTGCAGGAGAGTTTTGCCATGGTTGCCAAGTGAACGTCTGGATCCCAATCCAGACAGTCTGGGTCTGGTGGCTGCTTGGGGAGGTCCGGATGCCCCCCATAACCCCCCCCCCCAAAAAAAAAACTGAAGATCTGGAAAACAAAATCGGGGGTGCCTAGGTGGTTTTCCAGGTCCTGCGTGCTCCCGCAAAATTGTCTTGGACATTTTTGGCCTTCAGAGGCCAATCCGCACCGGCCCCAAAGAGCAGCAGTGGGAAGTAGCGTGAAGCAGGCCTAAAACGAAGAAGGTCGGTCAGTGGTGGTACCAAAATGAGGCAGGGGAGGCCAATTCGGACTGGCCCTAAAGAGCAGCAGCAGGAGGTAGCTTGAAGCAGGCCTAAATGAAGAAGAAGGTCGATCAGCTGTGGTACCAAAACGAGTCAGGGGAAGACCTTGGAAGACACTTGGTGGAGGAGGAGACCGCTTCAATGGACGAGAGTGGTGGAGCTGACAACAATGCTGTGGAGGAGGAAGACTGTGATTCTGAAGAAGAGCCTCTTGCACGCAAACGGCGCAAACCATCAGACTGAGGCGCGAGAGTGGGGGTGGAAGCGGGGGTGTTCTTAGAATAATTCTCGTGATTTCTCTGAGTTCCAAAATTATCAATTTCTTTCTTTTTTCTTTTTTTTTTGAAAGAGTTGCACATTTATATTACCAACCAAGTGGAACAATAGGCCGGGAATTCCTCACAAACAACCCGGAAAGCTGGGGGCATTACCCAGTTTAAGCCTGTGCTGGAAACCGGGTCCAGCGTCCCTCTCATCCTAACCAATCTTAACTCTTTCAAAAATTCTCAACTTGAAGCTCGGAAAAAAGTGGGGCTCACCAAATTGTTCTCTAGGCCTAATGCGGCCTTAACCCATTACCCATTAACAGTTTTCCGTCTGCTGTAACATTGGCCAACTGTATGCTCACTGTCCAAGTTTATATAAACCATTGACGGGATCTGCCCTGCCTTTTGGAACAACCCTTCCAATCCGCCAAAATCATTAGTCTCAGATTCGATCGGACCTGATGCTGTTGCTGGAAAATGGTCACTTTTTCACCCCTAAAGACGTTAGCATTTCTGGTCCTCCATGTTCTTGTAATATGACACCTCTGCACACTAATGTTACATATCCCAAGGCCTTCAAATATTTGAACTTGTTATTCGGCAACAGGCCATACAGAGTCCAGTCATCGTTCCACTGAAAAGAGTCCCCTACTAGGCTAGCCCAAAGTGCCAACCACCACATCCACAGCTCGTCAAATAGCGGGCAGTGAACCCATGAGTGAGCATTCGACTCCCATCCCCAGTTGCAGCGGACGCACGTGATAGACAAATCCATTCCTCTGGTAGAAAGCCAGAGGGAGGTAGGAACCACCATTAGAGACTGTAGCCACAACAGGCATGTGTCCCTTTGAGAAGGGATCTTCTTCAAAGAAATCCATAACGCGCGCCAGTTCAGACAGATCACTTCTGGACCTTTCTGTTGTTTGAGCCTATGCTCTGCCATAACAGATGGAGAGTTCTTAACATGTGCTCGTAGGTGCCTCACCCCCACTTTGGGCTTGTATTGGAACAGAAAGGTGCCCTGTTGTTTCTTCGAATCATCCGTCCAGCTGTAGGACAAAGGTTCAACCCTGCATTTTGATGCTGTACCTATCAATTGGCAGCTCTTTCTTCCTTCAACCACTCTTACGTCGACCAAATCCACTGTGCTCTTAATTGTACACTTCTGGGAAAATTTGAGCATGCCCTCATCTGTGTTTAAGATACTCAGTAGCCATTCTTCTGCTCTAATGCCTTTCCCAAGTTCCGGACCTTTGACTTTAAATAGCTTGAGGTGATCATCACCAGAGCGCAGCCAAGTGCCATCCCCGTGTTCTGTTGAGGCCCGTAACACAATTGTCCAGTGCCTTGGGATGGCCTGCAATATTTTCTCCAGATTAGAGCTTTGCTCTCATATCTTCCGTTGAATGCCAGTCATCATTCTCTTCATTCCACAGGTGCTTGACTTGGAACACTCCTTTTTCCATCCATGCACGTCCGAATTCCCCCGTTCCCCCATTAGCTGAGAAGGTGTCACCAGACGGCTTGAGAATCCACTGATTGTCCAATAAACATTGATTGCCAATTTCCAGTCTCGAGACTGGCTGTCTTCGAACTGTGGGGAGAAGTCTTTTCCAGCCATGGAGGATATTACGCCATGTCTTCAACTTAATGCGTCTATTGAGGAAGGATGACAACAGGCAGCCTTGCCAGACGTCTCCTTCCTTAGACAGCGACCATTCTTGTCCCAAGATATACTCACCAAAACGCACCCATATCTTGGAGCGGTCCTCCAACATAGCCTTAATGACCCATTTAGCCAACAATACCAAGTTCTGCGAGTGGGGGTCCAGTATCCCCAAACCCCCTTGATCTCTGGGAAGCGAGATTGCATCCCATGCAACTTTTGGTATAAAACCTTGATCCTCTTCTGCTTTCGGCTTCCACAGATACCTGGCCGCTGCCCGACGTATGTTACATATGCCTATTCTCCCAACAGACAGAGTGTCAGAGGGAATCAAAGCACGGAAAACGCAGCCGAGGAAAGAACTAAGGCTCTTCCAAACAGAGAGAGACTGTAGTTCCTCAGCCAACTGCTAATTCTGGCTGTCACCTGGTTCGTCATCAACTGATCCTGAGTTTTGGCGCAGTCCAACCGAGATACCTGGATGCCCAAGAATCGCTCCGAATTTTCTGTTGGGATTGGTCTTAATCCCCAGTCCACTTTCAACTCATACATGGATGGAATGAATTACACAGATTTAGTCCAATTAATTGATGCTTCCGATAAAATGCAATACTCGTCTATAACTACTCTTAATTCATCCAGAGAGCTATCGAGTTCTCACATGCCACTGTCAAGTCGTCGGCCAATGCCCCTCCTTTCCAATGTAAGGAAGGTCTGACCTTCAATATTGTCCAGTAAAACTTCTAGCTGTAAGACAAACAAAAGGGGAGCCAGTGGGCACCCTTGTCTTAAAGACCATCTTACGTGAAACGCTTCGGATATATGCCCGTTGACCATTACCGTAGACACTGCCTCTGCATACATCGAGCGGACCCAGTTAGCAAAGCCAGGCCCAAACCCCACCCTCGAAAGGGTAATGGAGACAAATGCCCACCCCACCTTGTCATAGGCCTTCTCCAAGTCCAGGAGAAGGATAGCAACCTCCCTTTTTTCGGAACTTATCACCTTGAGAGCTACATTAAGCACCGTTGACGAAGTATTTAAAAAAATGGACCTCTCTTTGACAAACACACCCTGTTCCCACCCTACTAACTGAGGGAGCTCGGTTGACAGGTGGACAGCTATCGCCTTAGCAAGAATCTTCTAGGCTACATTAAGCACAGAAATGGGGCGGTAGTTGATTCAGACCCTGCTCGGCAAATGCAGCATAGAGGGGTCACTCGCCAGGGCCCAGCTCGTGAAAGCAGATCAAAGGACATGTTCTCTGGGTCAAAAGTCACATCCTAGCTAAGTAAAAGCCAATATCAAAGGTCACAGTTGTGCCCTGTACGAACAGCTGCAATATCTGGAATTGGGAGTCACATCTGTTCGTTCAGGGGGTGCGCAGGTCATGTCTGTTCAGGCAAGAGTTGTGTCTGTTCGTGCAGTATGAGTGTCTGTTCGTGCAGAATGTGTGTCTGTCCAAAAGGAAGTCAAAGGGCAGGTTCCCAGTTCTGTCTAAGTCTAATAGG